CAGCAATCATACGCCTTGGTATTACCCGAAGGAGTTGAAAATGTATGTCCACACAAACACCTGCACAGGGATGTTTATAGCAGCTTTATTCATAATTGCTGTTATGGGCTGTTTGTGTCCCCTCGAAATTCATATGTTGAAGTCTAATCACCAATGTGATGGTATTTGGAAGTGGGCCTTTGGGAGGGAATTAGGTCATAAGAGTGGAGCGCTCAAGAATGGGATTAAGGTCCTTATAAGACGAGGCTAGAGAGCTAGCTTGTCTTCTGTCAGCCATGTGAGGATACAAGTCAGCTGTCTGCAGCCAGAAAGATGGCCTCTACCAGAACTTTACTATACTGGCACCGTGATCTTGGTCTTCCAGCCTTCAAAACTGTGAGAAGTAAATGTTTGTTGTTTAAGCCACCCAGTTTATGATCATTTGCTATAGCAGTCTGAACTAAGACCACTGTCAAAACTTGGAAGCAACCAAAGATATCCTTCAGTAGGTGAATAAACTGTGGCACATCCAGACAATGGAATATTACTCAGAGTTCAAAAGAAATAAGCTATTAAGCCATGAAAAGACTCAGAAGAAACTTAAATGCAGCTTGCTAAGTGAAAGAACTCAATATGAAAAGCTTGCTGTATGATTCAAGCTATACAACATTCTGGAAAAGGCACAACTATGAAGACAGTAAAAAGATTAGTGGTTGTCCGGGAATGTAGCAGGGGAGAATAGAGCATGGAGGTAGAGCACAGAGTTCTGGAGCAGTGAAACTATTTCACATGAAACGGTAATGGGAGACACATGACATTATGCCATAGAACTGTGTAACACCAAAGAGTGAACCCTGGGCCGGACGCAGTGGCTCACGCCTGTAATCCCAGCACTTTGGGAGGCCAAGGCGGGCAGATCACGAGGTGAGGAGATCAATACCATCCTGGCCAACATGGTGAAACCCCGTCTCTACTAAAAATACAAAAAATTAGCCGGGCATGGTGGCGGGCGCCTGTAGTCTCAGCTACTCGGGAGGCTGAGGCAGGAGAATGATGTGAACCTGGGAGGCGGAGCTTGTAGTGAGCCGAGATTGAGCCACTGCACTCCAGCCTGGGTGACAGAGAGAGACTCTGTTTAAAAAAAAAAAAAAAAAAAAGAGTGAATCCTAATGTAAACTGTGGGCTTTGGATGATAATGATGTGTCTATGATGTAGGTTCATCCACTGCTTTTTCGTTGTTGTTGTTGTTGCTGTTTTGAGACAAGGTCTCGCTCTGTCGCCCAGGTTGGAGTTGGAGTGCAGTGGTGTGATCTTGGCTCACTGCGACCTCTGCCTCCCAGGTTCAAGCAATTCTCATGTCTCAGCCTCCTGTGTAGCTGAGACTATAGGTGCGCACCACCACACCCAGCTAATTTTTTTTGTATTTTTAATAGAGACAGGGTTTCGTCATGTTGGCCAGGCTGGTCTCAAACTCCTGGCCTCAAGTGATCTACCTGCCTTGGCCTCCCAAAGTGCTGGGATTACAGGTGTGAGCCACTGTACCTGGCCATACTAAAAGTTTTTTTTAAAAAGATAAAAAATCTCCAGTTATCACTTTTCCTGACACCCACCACCAGATATGTCCTATTTCCCTGCTTCCCTGTATAGCAAAACTCTTCAAAAGACTTGTCCATATTTGCTATCCCAATTCTTCTACTCTTCTCACTTCAACCTTTCTAATCAATCTCTCCAGTCCCTACACCCCACCTACTTCACCCAAATTGCCTTTACCAGTTGCCAAATCTAATGGACAGTTGTTATTCTTCATTTTACTTGTTTTATCAACAGCTTCTGACACAGGTGACCACTCCTTCCTCCTGAAAACATTTTCTTCCCTTAGCTTCCAGGGTACTCTCCTCTCCTGGGTTTCCTACTACTTTACTGATGATCACCCTCAGTCACCTTTGCTGGTTCCTCCTCTTCTCCCTAATCTCTATATACTGGAGTTTCCCTGGCCTCATCTCGTCCCTAACTTCGTTCTCTCCTTTGGTGATCTCATCCAGTCTCATGTTTTTAAAAAATATCATCTAAATGCCAACAGTTCTAAATGAGTCTGAGTCTCTAGCTCAGACTTCCCCCTTGAACTCTAGACTGTATGTCTAGCTGTCAGTTCAATAATTCTATTTGCCTGGCAACTGACCAGTTAAGTTTGACCGATATCGAACTTAACTAAAGCTTATCTCTCACTGTACCCCTAAAACCTGTTCTACTTGCAGTTTCTCCCATCTCAATTAATAGCAATTTCATTTTTCTAGTTTCTTGGATCAAAATCCCTAGGGATCATCTTTCCCTCCTTTCTTTCACACCTCAAATTCAGTGTATTTCTCTATATCCTCAGCATAACTACCTCTCATTAACTCCACTGCCCTCTCCCTGATCTGAAGAACCCTCATCTCTTGCCTGGCCTATTGCAAGAGTGGCCTAACTGGTCTCCCTGCTTCTATTCTTACTTGCTACCATTTATTCTCAGCACAGAACTGAAAATGATCCTTTTAAAAGTTATATCAAGTCTCTGCTCAAAACCCTACAGTGGCTCCCCATTTAATTGAGAGTATAGGCCTTTCAACAGCCTACAAAGCTCTTTATAACCTGCACTCTCACTCCTACTGCACTCTGACCACACCACCTGCTATTCTTCACTCTTGCTCAGCTCCAGCCTCACTGGCCTCCTGTTTCTTCCTCATGCCACAGCGTTTCACTAGCTGTTCCCTCAGATGTCCACATGGCTAATGCCCTTACATCTTTCAAGTCTTTGTTTGAATATCATCTTTTCATTGAGGTCAACTCTGACCACCCTAGCTCAAAGTGTAACCCCCAGCTCTCATGGAACTCTCAATGCTTCTCTTAACCTAATACACTTTTTCCTTGCATTTATCATCCTCTAATATACTATATAACTTATTTTCTTATACATTATATGTCTTCCCTACCCACCTCCAAACAAGCTTCACTAGAAGAAAGTCTTTGTTTTATTCACTATATGTCCAAATCACCTAGAACACTGCAGGCTCCCAAAAAATATTTGTTAAGGGCCAGGAGTGGTGGCTCACGTCTATAATCCTAGCACTTTGGGGCTCAGGTCACGCCACTTTGCTCCAGACTGGGAGACAGAGCAAGACTCCATCTCAAAAAAAAAAAAAAGAAATTGTTAAGGCTGGGTGCCATGGGTCATTCCAGCACTTTGGGAGACTGAGGTGAGCGGATAGCTTGAGCTTACAAGTTTAAAACCAGCTTGGGCAATATGGCAAAACCCCGTCGCTACAAAAAATACAAAAATTAGCTGGACATGGTGCCAGGTGCCTTGAGAAGCTGAGGTGGGAGGATTGCTTGAGCCCAGGAGGTAGAAGTTACAGTGAGCTGAGATTGTGCCACTGCACTCCAGTGTGGTGACAGAGTGAGACTGTCTGAAAAAAAAATGTTTGTTGTTGTTAAGAAGAAGCACTATTTCCCATTACGTAGAAACGGCACTCCTAGAAATTATGTATCAGATACTTGAGGGAATGACTTCAGGCTACAAAAAGACTTACAGGATGAGAGTGTGGCTCAAGAGCCTATATTCGAGAATCACTCAAGAACTCAGGTGCCTCTTGACTGCCCTCCTCTCCCCAACCATCCCATCCTTGCCAGTTGTAATTATCTATAAAGTCACTGAAGAGACTCAGTCTAAAAGCACAATGACCTGCCTGGGCTACTGCAGCTCACCAAACTTAGTTTTGGCCTCACTTCTATGACCAAGCTAGTGACCTGGTATCCAGGTCAGCATCTCGGCCTTCCTGCTAGTCCAGCTTTAATTGAATTCACTCAGAACTGGATTCTTACTTACTCGTGAAGAACCAGCCTTATACCTCCATTTCAGTAATTAGGGACCCTTGCCTTTCTCTCTATATTTCATTTCCTGTCTTGGTATCCTGATCAATATTTTGGTTCCTCAGACTTACACCTAGTACCTGTGCTTACTTCACCTTTCTGGAGTCCTGTCCTGGGCCCAGTCCCAGTTTCTGAGCCCCAGACCTGACTCTCAGGACCAGGTCCTCTGTCTTTTGCTTCCTTCCAGACCTCCTGGCTCCTGGGCTCTGCTCACCAGGCCTCCCTGTATCTCCCTAACTCCAACTGTCTATTTACCTGGACCTCTGCCCTCAGATACCTTGACCCCTCCAACTCCCCTTCCCCATTACTCCCTTACCTGAATGCTTGATCCCCTCTTATCATTAATTCTGAGACCTTTCTGAAGAGCGAGCCAAGCCCTGGTCCATTTGGTCTCTCTATTTAAGACTGAATAAGGTGTATCTCAGCCCTGGCTGAGCCTTGAGCCTGAAAATAATGAACATGAACTTCTAGTTCCTCAAAGGGCATAGTCAATCTTCCTAACAGTGTCAAAATGCTCTCAGCTGAAGCTGGTTGCCAAAAATAATCAGTGTCAAACACTTGTGCTTTCTTCAGCAGACCTATGTGTTTTACTTGGATCCTTTCACTTGGGTGAAACCAGAATATACTTTGCATTCTGCTGCCTCAAAAAAGAAATCCTTTAGATTTCTCAGGAAACTGGGCCCAAATAAAAAGAAAACGATGGGCCGGGTACGGTAGCTCACGCTTGTAATCCCAGCACTTTGGGAGACCAAGGCAGGTGGATCACCTGAGGTCAGGAGTTGGAGAAGAGCCTGGCCAATATAGCAAGACCCTGTCTCTACCAAAAATACAAAAATTAGCCAGGCGTGGTAGTGTGTGCCTGTAATCCCAGCTACTTGGGAGGCTGAGGCAGGAGAATCACTTGAATCCGGGAGGCAGAGGTTGTAAGGAATTGAGATCACACCAGCCTGGGCAACAGAGTGAGACTCCATCAAACACACACACACACACACACACACACAAACACACACACGATGGCTACTAGAGTCAGCCCAGGACTGGAAATTATAAAATCCTAGAATCCAATTTTTACCCTTACTAGTCCTGGAATATCCCATAGGATTAAAGCCACATACCTAGAAGCATCAAGGAATGGTCTATAGGCCAAGCTGATCCATTCTTCTTTATTGGATGAATATTTTGGCTCCCGAGGTGTTTCTCTCATGGTGTCCAAATCCACTAAATAATGGCATTTACTGATATCGATCTGAAATGGAGAAAGGCCAACTCTTCATTAGTAATTTCGAAGGTTCCTTCTGGGTAGAGAACAGCAATTGCAATCCTAAAAATTCACAGAGCTTTGGAGGAACAAACATCCAAGTCTTCAGACAATGTTGCCTGTGCTCTCTCCACTCAGATAAGAGTATTCAGGCTCTTGTGGGGGACAGGCACACTCATTCAGACATATGTAGGCTTTGGCTGGTCTGATTCCAGGTTGAGTTCTTAAGTCCTTCTAGTCCCATAGACACTTCCAAAGCCACCACGAGCCCACAGTCTACTTCTGGAAAACCTATCGTCTTCTGCTCACTAATGCTCCCTTCCAGTCCATCACCTCTTATTCCACAGACTCAAAGGGCATGACTAAACACAGATGCTAATGTGTGAGAAGGCCCGCCTCTCCTGACAGCCATGGGAGGTTACACTACACCTCACAGGGGTACAGAAATATCATGCATATCATCTCCTTCAAATATTCAACAGAATTAACAGAGACATGAGAACAGCCCCTGCAGCAAAAGTTTAGTAAAAGTGAGATATCAGAACTCTGCTTCTGTTAATACTATGTATTATATTAATATCGTGTATTAACAAAAGCAGAGTCAGCCAGTTGCTGATAACATGGATCTATCAGAATATTGTAAATGCTCAAAGGAGAATATTAAAATATTTCATTTAAAACAATGCTGAGCCAGGTGCGGTGACTCTCGCCCGTAGTCCCAGCACCTTGGGAGGCCGAGGTGTGCAGACCTCTTGAACCCAGGAGTTCAAGACCAGCCTGGGCAACATGGTGGAACCTCATCTCTATAAAAAAAATATAAAAATTAGCTAGGTGTGGTGGCACACACCTCTAGTTCCAGCTACTCACGAGGCTGAGGTGGGAGGATCACTTGAGCCTCGGAGGTCAAAGCTGAAGTTAGCCAAGATCATGCCACTGCATTCCAGCCTGGGCAAAAGAGAGACCTGCTTCAAAAAAAAATTTTTAAAACAATTAAAACCAAAAAAGAGTCCTCTTAGGTAGTTAGACGTCAGCTAAGATAAAGACTATTTGAAACATGTACAGATATGCAGTAAATATCACACTTGACGTTGAAGAACTAAAAGCTTTTCCTTTGGGATCCAGAATAAGTCAAGGCTGCTTGCTATCACTACTCTGTTCAACACTGTACTAGAGAATCTAGTCAGTAGGGTAAGACTAGAAAAAGAAACACAGGGCAGAATAAATAGAAAGGAAGAAACAAAACTCATTCATCACAATGATATAATTGGTCCAGAAGACTCTACAAATAAATTTTGGAATTATTAAGAGAGTTTAGCAAAATTCAGACTTAAAGGATATCAATCAATGTCATATACTCCATAGCAATAAACAAAATGAAATTTTATAAAAATACAATTTAAAGCATTTGAAAATGTTTACCTTAGAATAAATCTAATAAAACATGAGAGTGCTCTATAAAAAAGTACAGAATCTTATTGGCCAGGCACGGTGGCTCACGCCTGTAATCCCAGCACTTTGGGAGGCCAAGGCGGAGAGATCACCTAAGGTCACGGGTTCGAGACCCACCTGGCCAACATGGGGAAACCCCATCTCTACCAAAAATACAGAAATTAGCTGGGTTTGGTGGCACATGCCTGTAATCCCAGCTACTTGGGAGGCTGAGGCAGGAGAACTGTTTGAACCTGGGAGGCGGAGGTTGCAGTGAGCCGAGATTGCGCCATTGCACTCCAGCCTGCAACAGAGTGAGACTGTCTCAAAAAAAAAAAAAAAAAAAGAAAGGATAGAATTTTATCAACAAACACCCATCAACAGATAGATTCATGTGGTATATCCACATCATTAAAATGTGGTATATCCATACAATAGAATAGTACTCAGCCATAATAAGGAATGAAGTTCTGATACATGTTACGTCACAGATAAACCTTAAAAATATTGCTGTGACTGAAAGAGGCCAGGCACCAAAGTCCACATATATATGATTCCATTTATATGAAATGTTCCTAATAGGCAAATCCTCCAAGACAGAAAGCAGAGGTTACTATGAACTGGGGAGTGGCTGCTTAATGGATATTTAATGGGTATTGGTTTTTTGGGGGGGCATAATAAAAATCTTCTAAACTTGGATACTGGTGAGAGTTGCACATTATAAATGTACTAAAAGCCATTGACTTGTATACTTTAAAATGATTAAAATTGTAAATTTTATGTTGTGCACATTTTACAATTAAAATATCATTAAAATTGTAAATTTTATCTCAAATAATTTTTTGTTACACAATAAAGTAGACTTTATTAATGAAGTGATATATATTTTATTCCTAGACAAAAACCTTACTATTATAAAGACGTCAATTCTAAACAAGTTGATTGATAAATTAAATATAATCTCAATCAAAATCCCAACAGACTTTTTTGAAACTCAACAAGCGGATTCTAAAACGTGTATGGAAAGGCAGAAGGACAAGAATAGCCAAGGTACTCTTAAAAAAGAAGAATAGGCTGGGCGTGGTGGCTCACACCTGTAATCCCAGTACCCTGGGAGGCCAAAGTGGGAAGATAGCTTGAGGCCAAGAAATCGAGATCAGCCTAGGCAAGACAGTGAGACTCTGTTTCTACAAAAATTTAAAACTTAGCCGGGCATGGTGGTGTACACCCATAGTCCTAGCTACTCAGGAGATTGAGGCAGGAAAATTGCTTGAGCCCAGGAGGTTGAGACAGCAGTAAACTATGATCATGCCACTGCATTCCAGCCTGGATGACAGAGCAAGACCTCATCTCTAAAAAGAAAAACAACAAGGTGGGGGCTTAGTTACTATAAAGCTATAGAAATTAATACAGTAGGCCGTGTGCAGTGGCTCATGCCTGTAATCCCAGCACTTTGGAAGGCCGAGGCAGGTGGATCACCTGAGGTCAGGAGTTTGAGACCAGCCTGGCCAACATGGTGAAACCCCGTCTCTATTAAAAATACAAAAATTAGACAGGCATGGTGGTGGGCATCTATAATCCCAGCTACTCAGGAGGCTGAAGCAGGAGAATTCCTTGAACCCGGGAGGCGGTGGCTGAAGAGAGCCAAGATCGTGCCACTGCACTCCGGCCTGGTGACACAGCAAGACTCTGTCACAAAAAAAAAGAAAAAGAAAAAGAAAAAAAATTAATACAGTGAGGTATCAGTGCAGGAATAGATCAACAGACCAATGAAATAGAACAAAGAGCTAGATCAGACGCAGGTACATGCAGACCCTTATTTATGACAGAAGTGACACCACAAAGAAGTGGATGGTCTTTTCACCAACTGGTGCTGGGACAACTGGATATCCCTTATGGGAAAAATGAAAATGAACCTCAACCTCACTCCACATGCAAAAATCAACCTTAGATGGATTATAGGCCTAAAAATGAAAATATAAAGCTCTTAGAAGATAATATAAAAGAATAGCTTCAAGATCTTGAGTAAAAGAGTTTGTAGATAAAGCATTAATTATAAAAAAGAATGACAGATACATTTGACTATATTAAAGTTGAGAATATCTTTTCATCAAAAGACACATTAAGGCCAGGCGCAGTGGCTCACACCTGTAATCCCAGCACTTTTGGAGGTTGAGGTGGAAGGATCACTTGAGGCCAGGAGTTCGAGACCAGCCTGAGCAAAATAGTGAGACCCCATCTCTACAAAAAATAAAAAAATTAGCTGGGTGTGGTGGTGCACACCTGTGGTCCTATTTGGGAGGCTGGGGCAGGAAGACTGCTTGAGTCCAGGAAGTAGAGGTTGCAGTGAGTCAAAAAACATTAAGAATTAAAAAAACACAGAATGAGAGAAGATATATGTAATACATTTAACCATTAAAGATTCATATCTAGAATATATAGAACTCCTACTAATCAACAAGACAAAGACAAACCACCGAAAAGAAAAATGGGGAAGTGACTTAGGTACTTCATAAGAAGAAACTGAAATGGCCAAAACAAGTAAAAATGTGTTCAACCTCATTAGTAACCAGCAAATGCAAATGAAAACCACAATAAAAAATCACAGTATCGAGTGTTGGCCAGAATGTGAAGCAACAATTATAAATTACTGGCAGGAAATAAAGTTGGTAAGAGATCTTTAGAAAACTACTCGGCAAAATCTACTAAAATTGAACATATGTATTTTCTATGATCTAACAATTCTACCCCTAGTTATTAGATTGAACCACATGAAATTATTATTTGATGTTTGAGCCACAAAAATGGTAATTTCATACGGTTCAACCTAATGTATATCCAACAGAAATGCCTGCACCGAAAGAAAAGAATGTCCAAAGTGGTGTTATTTGTAGTAACCCAGATTGGAAACAAAAACACCCATCAACAATAAAATAACAAGTAAATTGTGGTAAAGTCATACAATGAAATATTAGTAAGAGAGAATAAATTATAGCTATAGCAATAACGTGTGATTATTATAAACAAAATGTTGAGTGAAAGGATCAAGACACAAAAGGATAAATGCAGTGTGATTCAGGCAAAATGAACCTAAATCATTTAGGGACACATGTAAAAGTCATAAATCTAAAGAGAAAAGCAAGAAAATCATTACCACAGGAGTCAGGAGACTCCCTCAGAACAGGGGTGTGGGTAGGTGATCAAAAAGAATTCTGGGGGAGCTCCTGGGTGCTGGCAATGTTCTATTATTTGACCTGTGTTACACAGACACTTGCTCTATTATTATTACTACTAATTTACTGTACAAATACTTTATACACATTTAGGCTTATAGATTATACATGACTAGAAGGTTTTTTAAAAGTGCATACAAGAACAAGTTGGTCATCTCTGGCTTACAGTAAACTCTGTTCTTCCCCAACCTCCACCTTACAGGAATGTTCTCATTCTCTCCCAGGATTATTTATATGTAAAAAAGACTTCAGTCTCACATCTGTCTCTACATATGGCCTATTCCTCCAGGGGAGAGAAAGCACACTGAGAATTGACGTCAGACCCAA